GTCCCTATATTTAGCACTTTAAAACTGGGAATGTTTGCTGTGTTTCCTCCACTGCATATATTTTCTATCAATTTAAAAAAATAGATTAATTAGAGGTACAATCATATGCACATTAACCTGTAAACCGTGTGACTTTGCTTCTGGGTATGCTTGCAAAGAAATTCAAATTTTCTGAAATAATATAATTACAATACATTCCAGAACAACTTGGAGGCTAACTTCTCCATGTCCACTTTTTTGCTTAGTCCCTTTAAAACAGAAAAATATTGATGACATTTCGGCGCCAGGTCAAAATCTTCCTGTTCCAGAAGGCTTTTAATTGAAATAACATCAACTGTGGGTCCTGATGGCAATTTCAATTGTATTTTAATCATTTTATCTTTTATTGTATTTTAATTGAATTTTAATTGTTGTAAGCCGCCCAGAGACCTTTGGGTAGAGTGGGTGGCATATAAATTTAAATAAATAAATAAATAAATAAATAAATAAATATTCTCAAGGTACCGTCTCAGGATAGATCACTAGAAGGAACTGGAGAGCATTGTATTGCATTTTTCTGTTATGTGTGCTCATACCACTTATTATTTATGGCAACTCTTATGAATTAGATGCTCAGTGTGGTGTACAGGGTTCAGTGACAAACTAGGACTGGAGACCAGAGTTTGGATCTCTGCTCAGTCGTGGAAAATCACTGGGGGAATAGAACGGGTAAAACCATGCCTTAAATATCTCACTTTGAAAGCCCTGTTGGGGTTGCTATAAGTTAGTGACAAATTAGTGACCTCCAGAAAGTCCTGTCATTAACAAACGGGTGTTACGAACATTTCTTTGCATCACGGCAATTCTTTTCTCATGATATATCCAAAGTATTTTGCTAGGGAGTGCTGTTAAGAGGATTCCTGCTGTAAATAATGCACAATGTTGAACTTATTACTGTGGGTGAAGCAAAAATAACATATACCTGACCAACCAGATGAAAGAATAACAAGAAATTCCTTTAAAAAAAAAACACCCAACACTTTGGTCACTTTACAATGGCCTGAGAATTGACACATACACCTACTGTTATGCAGAAAGCATAATTTGCTGTGTATATTGATGAGGCCAGCTTCCTCTTGAGCCAAAGGAGTTTGTACTCTTGCTTCTCACATAGCTGTTGTAAGTGGTGAAACAAAGACAAAAGCGTCTTTACGGAGGGAGAATCTAATCTAACCTTTTACATAGCTGTAAAAACATGTTAAAATACTTCAACGTAAGCATTTCTTTCAAAATACTGAAGAAGATTGATTTGCATTGCATTCACAATAATTGTGGACACTTGAAAGGTAAGGATTTAATGAGAAAATATATAATGAGAGCTTTTTTTTAAAAAAAAGTGGCCCTTTTGAAAAATGCAAGAAGACTTCTGAACACAGAACTGAACAGTTTTCTTTTAATACTTAATAAATGGAATTAAGTGAGAGTAATGTAAACCTGATCCAATATCTCAGTGAGTTAGGTATGAACCAGAGGCTGGGAGTTCACTTTCCCTCTGTGGAGAAGAGCCAGCCTGTGTGGCCTTGGGCAAGCTGCATCAGTCCCAGAAGAAAGAACTGAATATTCTATACTTGGAAAACCCTGAAAAGGGCCAACATAAGCCCTTGCTCCTCATTTTCTGTCTTTCAGATTATTTCCAGCCAATCTAAACCTTGCTCCTCATTTTTTCTATCTTTCAGATTATTTCCAGCCAATCTAAAATGAACCTGAGCCAGAAGGTGGGAAACAAGGGTCACCCACCATTATCTAAAATTTCACTATAGCGGTACAATTGTAGACACTACTCAAGTCCCATTAATTTGAATAAAATCCTATCATGAATTACATTAGTTTATCGTCAGTGTTTTTTTTTTAAGTCTTAGGGTTTTTTCCTAGTGTAATTAAAAAGCTCTCAAGAGTTATTTTTTATAATAAAAATCAGCAATAATACCAGTTGTGTACACTAAATTATTTCTTAATTCCAAGCATGATTCAGACATTCAGCCTGGGTTGGACAAGCTGCATAGTCTACAGGGTGCCACCAGAAGAAGAGGCTGGTAAGCCACTTCTGAGTATTCTATGCCTGGAAAAGCCCTTACTTGATGGCATATCATGATTATGATTATTATGATATTGTACTATTAAAAGTACAATTTAAGGAAAGAACAGAGCATCATTCTTACCTTTCAGTGCTGTCTTCTTTGGTAAATACAGTTCTGAAATGGGAGACCTTGACAAGAGAACTGGAAGTCACTGTCGGAAGAGTAATAATGCAGGTTGGGCAGATTAAAACTGTTAAGGAAGAAGTATGCACACCTAGACAGTGAGACTGGATTTCTTTTCATCTTAGTCTTTCAGATAGGGGGAAAAATGATAAAGCCTGTCTTATAGTTTGTTTTCAAAGAAAGAAAGAAAAAAGCAAGCTTCTAGAAGATAATAGAGAATACATGTTGTGTGTTTTTTCAAACACCTGCCTAACCTTCCATTTAAGTGCCACCATTTATCACTTTCTGTTTACAGTGTAAAGACTTTAATGTAGAGCTTACCACTGGGATGCTTTGATATGTAATCCTTCTAAAGCTGGTCTTTGAAATGCCTTTGTAATGATAAGGTTTGCAAAAGTGGCAGGTTCTCCGTCTTATCTTACTCAAGGGCTTAGATAAAAGAGAAGAATACTTTGCAAGGGATGTTTTATACCCTTATGACAGAACCTATTTCTTCATTATAAGTCAAACTGCAAAGGCTCTGGGGTTTGAAAGTTTTGCATAAGAAAACAATTGCATGTGTCCTAACCACATTGTTTGGGAAGTAAGTCATTTTGTTTTCAGTGGGACTGTATGCAGGCTTCCTTTTACATTCTATATGTTTATTCCATTGAAATGTAGGATAATTCCCAGTAAATATGATCAAGGCATGTGACCGTACTGGTCTAAATGGAAGAGCAGCTTCAGAAAGATTTCCAACGGCTAAAAATGAGAACTGTACTAATCGTTATACTCAGGAAATACAAATTCTTTAAAAGCAGATTTTGCCCACAAAATACAATTACAAGAGAACAGAGATTACCACCCAAGGCCAGCTTGTGATTTGAGGAGGATCCTGGGCAAACCATCATCTAGCGGAATCCTCCTTCACTAATGAGCTCTAGCAGACAACAACATTCTGAGCATCAATCAGCTGCTTATTCTGGACAAAATTTTCTTCCCATAATGGACTATATGCTGACCCAAGAAGGGTGGCACAGTATTATAAGCACTATAGAAGGACTCTAATTCCTCCACAGACTACTCATCATCATCACACCGTGTGCTTTGAGAAAACACTTTTTTGCTATCTTTTTCTGTCCTCGCATGTTGCTTTCAATACATCGCTTTATATAAGAATTGGCGTGGGGAAATCTATTCAAGTCCTTCTCAAAGGCTACTCTTTAGTAAAGTTCATCCTGAAATACTGGGGCTTTATGGGTCTCACTCCATCATGGCAGTGTTCCTCTCTCTGTCCTCTGATCTTGTTACTAACTTGGGTAGTATATGGGATGTAAGTGAGACCAAATGAAAAGAGAGAAGAAGAGGAAGAATGTTAGTACTGGGATCAGGGAATCACAGGAAAGGACAGTCCATTGTCCAGATAGCAGGAAGTCCAAAACTAGGATCATTTTCTTTACGAGTTCATTAGCAGAGCTACTACTAATCCCGGTATCTGCATAGTGATACTTGAAGCAACCAAAGTTGCATTTTGGATTCTTGTCACAGAAGAAGCAGAGCAAATGTTGAAACAATAATCATATTCATCATCATAATAAAAGAAAATATTATGGTCTGTCCCCCTGCTCTGAGATTATCTCTAGTTTCAGAAGTATATTAAAGTGGATGAAACCACAATTTGACAAAAATGATGAGCCAGTTCTCCTGCCTTTCTGGAAAAGGAGGTCAGATAATACAGACATTGGCTGATTAAGGGTGTCATGGTAAGTAATGTCAGGCAAAAGCAAAACCAAAATGAAAAGACAATAACATTTTGGCATCTTAAAGACTAACAGCTATATTTTAATGTGAGCTCTCACTTCTTCAGACATGAGAGTGGGGCTGCTTGGTAAATATTTATACAGTTAAGCATGGCCCCAAAAAGAGAGAAGGTTCCCTGGGCACAAGTAGTTGATGATGTGGCATTTCTCACCTGGCAATGATATTCAATGATTATTGGCTTAATCTCAGGCTATAGATAACAAAGGGGAACAGCATGGCAATGGGTATCACAATGTCTGATGGGATTTGTGAGGTGGTACTGGGTAGTTAGTAAGGAAATATAGCTGGGAATTGCATCAGACACAACATTTTATATTTGATAATGGCTTCTGAATCCTTGTCTATATTGAATCCATTGACATGGTTGTACTGAGACCTTTGTGTTTTGGCTTTCATTGACTTAATTGGCTTATAATGAATCCATTGAAATGTCTTATATTGAGTTCGTAGAATCTTGGCTATATTGAGGGATTACAGTAGATGCAACATTTTATAGTTGATAATGTCCTAAGAATCCTTGGTTTATATTGAGTCCATTGAGACAGGTTCTAAATATATGTATATATTTTATCTTAGCTATCTCTCTCTGTGTCTCTGGACTCTTGTTCTGTAATTTTTTTTCTCCAGAATGGTAAGTAATGTCTTCTTCCATTTTAAAATCAGTTTTTAAAGCAGAAGCTGTACAACACATGAAGAATAGAACTAGCAATCACGGACCACAATAACAAAATAAAACAGTAGAATGTCCTTCTCTGAAGACTAAGCAAAAAGTACAGTCATTGCCATTTTGAATGTCTAGAGTCATCTGGCTACACACAGCTGGAAAAAACAGGGTGTTATTCAGCAGGGCTTAATCCTTAGTAGATGTATAAAATGGTAATCTAAATGGTTAATATCCAGCATAAGCGTAATGGAAGCCAAAATATTAAGGCATATTTATTGCTATTATATTTTTCACAGTGCTCTGTGTCCTGTGGGAAAGGTTTAAAGGAACGTGAAATATACTGCATTGACAGTGTCCAAATCAAACTTGGAGAGAACCAGTGCATACATTTAAAGAAACCTCGGTCCCACAAAGCTTGCAGAGCTTCCAGATGTCCTGAATGGAAGGCCAACAGGTGGAATGAGGTATTTCTGCCTTGCTTTCTCATGTAGTGGTACAGGTTTTACAAAATGGTAGAGAATGGACAGTTTGAGGGATGGGGAGGGGTTAATTAAAGAGTCAGCTTGGAACACAAGGAAGATGACATTTTTACAGGACTCTTTTCAATGTACATATGTTGATGCAATATAAATAAATTCTAGAAACATGTACTGTACTTGTTTTTTCACAGTTTGCTGAAGTTTGTTTGTTTTCTCTTCTGAGAAAAGAAAATATAGCTTTATGGTAGAGCACATGTTTTGCAGGGGGAAAGTCCCTGATCTAATTGTTGACACTTTGAGGTAGGCATGGAAAAGTGTCCCTCTAGAGTCCTGGAGAGCAGCTGCCAGTTATTGTTGCATAGAGGTGTTGTTATAAAACAGGTGAAGAAAGCTGAGAGAGAAGAACTGAGAAAATACATCTCAGAAAATACATACTGAGATGTAGTTTCTCAGTTCTAGAACAGCACAAAAGTAGAGGAGATATTAGTCACACAACTAAATATTGCAGGCATAGCTTTCAAACCTTGGAAATATATATTAAAAAATATATTATATTTTTAAGCATCTCTCTCTCTCTCTTTCTCCCTCTTCCCTTCCAGCAGCACATTAATTATTTGCATTATTTGTTGGCTGTGAATAATAAGTAAATTAACCTTTGAAAAGGTTATTACCTTTTGTTTGTTTGTAGAAGGTGGAAAAGGCTTCTCAAAATTCCTTCTGTATGCTATCAGTCATCCATTGACTTGATGTTACAGGCATGACTTTGCATTCTCACTACCATATTAAATTTAACCCTTTGTTCACTTAAAGGAACAAATCCTGACACTCCCCCCCCCCAATTTTTAGAGAGGTAGAGAAGCAAATGTGCCCCTCCAAAGGTCCAGGGATCGCTGTGTGTGAATGGCTTCTGCACTTTGTCACCCCTGGAGTAAGCACTGGCTACAGAACAGAATGGAATGTACATCTTAGCAAACATATTAATTCTCTCTCTCTCTCTCTAATATTTATATGCTACCTTTTTCCTAAAAATGATCCATGCACGGAATTGCATGATAATTCTTTCATCAAAAGCATCACCAAACTCCTCTTGGGTGGGGTCCACTTTCAAAATGGAAATGGTACTATTGGCAGTGACAGTTTGCCACTGATTAAAGGGTTCCTTTTGTGATTTTGAAGACATGTGTGGCTTCACTGCATTGTGTGCAAGCCCTTCACATCCCAAAATGGCTGAAGGAAACTTTTAATCAGTGGCCATTTGTTGCTGCTAATGACTTCATTCCCATTGCACAGAGAAATCTGCACAACAGGATCTCTGAGAATTTTTAATGCTCAATTTTAGCTAGATCAGTACCCTCCAGGTAAGCTTAAATATAGCTTCCATAATAATGAGTGTGGGCTTTTGATTTTTGCCTTTTAAAATTGCACAGTGCTTTTATCACAAAATACTTTACTAAAACAGCAGAACTGTGAAATCAGATATGTTCACTTTGAACATTTTTAAAAAACACTGTAAATCTGGATTACACAATGTGAGTTCCAAGAATATGAGCGCAATGAAGCAGCCATAGGTGGTACCCTTCACCGCATGCATGATGTGAGGGTCTGCAGAAGTCATTAGACAAGCTACAGCAGTACAAGGCTTTTTGAATTTGATTGTTTTCAAGGTGTTTGCAGAGTGACAGCTTTATCAGAGAATCATAGAATAACTGAGTTGGAAGGGGCCTGTAAGGCCATTGAGTCCAACCCCTTGCTCAATGCAGGAATCCAAACTAAAGAAGATCTGACAGATGGTTGTCCAATTATAATCTCTATATAATTTTCCCAGGTATTGATGTCAGGCTGACTGGTCTATAATTTCCAGGGTTTTTTCCCCCTTTTTTACCCTTTGATTATTGGGACAACATTAGCCCTTCTCCAATCATCTGGCATTTCACCCATCCTCCATGATTTCAAGAAAATTATAATAGACAGTGCTCCTGAGAGTTCTTCAGCCAGTTCCTTCAATACACTTGGATGCAGTTCTTTGGATGCAGTTACAATGCAGATCTACTCTACTCATATCTCCTGTCAATCCCATTTTAGTCTTTGTTGAGGTAGACTGAAAATATTCTTCTTCAGGACTATTACAATGTGAGTAAGTTGAAAGTAAATTATGTGTCATGACATCAGTTCCAATTTATGGGGAGAAAACAACCCGCAGGATTTTCTGGGATGCACAAGTGCTGTATCAGTTTATCCTTCTGGTGCTCTGGGACTGTGCAGCTTGACCAAAGCCACAGATTTAAACATTCTGTATATGGGTAATCTCAGCTGACTCTTCTCCCTGGAAGCACAGTAAGGATTGCTGACCCTTGAATCTGCTCCCGGATGTACCTGCTCAGTGAGTTGTAGCAGCACAAGTAAATAAGTTTCCTGTAAAAAAAAAAAACACCTATGTTTTTGGTAATAAGGGCACAAAAATTACATTTCAAAAGTAATGCGAGAAGTGTCAATAATCTTAATCCTTTTTGGCATGGTAAGTAATGTTTTCTAGCTACTTTCCTAGTTAATGTTTTTTAAAAATCTGTGTTTTGAGCAGAATTGGTTGCATTTTATTTCATTCTCTTATCCACAATCTGCTAACAAATATGATGTTAACAGTATGGAGTGTGTGTGCATGGCGGGTTTATTATAGGTTACAAAGCTAAGTATTTTTATAAAGTCATTTCCTAAAGTACGTGCCAAAGATAGGTTCCCAAATCATTTTACAGCACCACTTTTCATTACACCACATTTTCTGTGTCAATCTAGTTCTGGAGTCAGAGTGATATGTCTGTCTTATATCAACATGATGGAGATGACTGCAAAGCAAAACATATAAAAGAGATCTGTTTTCCTTTCATGCTTACATCATCAAGTTAAAAGTTAAGGTACAAATGAGTCTGGAGAATAGATGCCTCAGCTTTACATCTGTGATTTTCAAACAAGGTTTATAGTAACAAGTTGTAGTATGTGCTTTTATTTCGCTCTCCTATATGATCATATAGAAGATCATATATTCTTTCTTTTTAGAAGGCACATGTTTTAGGAAATGTGCCATGAGGAATTACATTAAAAAGCTCCAGAAGGCAGCCTGGCTTTGGAAAAAAGAAACCAAGATGGAGGAAATGGGTGGAGGGAAAAGCAGTTGAACATGATGTAGTCATTTCTGAGGTCTGGAAAACGTTGGCAATAGGAAAATGAAACTGCTTGAAAGGATCTGTCCTCTGATCTGTATATGCTGATTCTACAGAGCGAGTTCACAACTGCAAGCTGTCATGGCTTTCAGCCCAGATACATTCCCCCAGCCATGCATTTTTATTTCTAAATTCCAAAACTCCAGGAATGAAGCCCCTCATGAGCTACCACACATGCTTAATGGGTTTTGTAGGTCAAACACTGCACATGCCTTTCTTTAACTATAGTAAGTCTTTCTGTGAATATTTATAAAACACACCCTTTACATACACTCTTAACTATAACCCAGCCCTCCAGAAACTTAGTAAATATTGTTAGACATCTACAACCCATTTATCTGAATGCTGTGGGGTACAAGTGTTACCCAGGGCATTATTGTGATACATGGTTTGTGTGTGTGTGTATGTGTATAAACACAGACACACAAACACACACAAACACACACACACACACACACACACACAGATGGGAATTTATTCATTTATTTCAATTAAACATACATAGCTTGCCCTATATCATAGGATCTCAAGGTGGGTTACTAATCTATGTGAAGCAATTTTAAAACATAAGATATTTAAAACAATTTAAAATCAGATGACACAAAATTAAAACATTCAAACATTGCATTAACACCAATGCGGGCTACATTGGCTCTAATAAGTACATCTTGACTTGGTGTCAAAATGATAATGTCCATGGCAGTCAATTCTCCAAGGGTAGAGCATTCCACAATTGAGGTGCTATGACAGAAAAAGCACTCTTGCTACAGTATTTTTATTTATTTATTTAAATACAGTAAACAATGTAAATAAACAGTATTAACTCTCCTCACAAATTTCTGTTCCTCCATTGGATTTCTAGCGTTTGACCTTAAAGGTGTGCCTATTACACCTGAGACTCATCCCATTTCACAGTTTTCTCCCTCAGAAGTTTCACTTATACTTTGTTCATTGTAAGTCTTCAGACTTCAACCCCTACATGGAGACAGAAGGCTAAGCTCCGATTTACTGAATAATGCATGTACTGTATATATATATATTTAAAAAATGCTTCGCAAAAAAAGGGGGGTTTTGGACACTAATTTAAGTAGCAAAGTCAGACCTGCTGGACAGGTTTGCATACTTAAGGTGGGGTAGGCAGTAGATGGCCTAAAGGCTACATATGGACCTCCACAGCACAACCATGGTACAGGAATGTGTGGATGTGGCCCCTGAACTTCTGAAAGTTGCCCGCTTTTGAATTAACTGGTCCTTCTGTTGCTCAGATACCAGACACAGAACGACTGTTTGAAAGAAAACCTGTGATCATCTACTTCTTCTGATTCCAGTAAATGAGTATTCATAGGCCTCACTGTTCATGTTTATTAAGATATTTCGCTGCAGAGCTGGAAGGGACCCTATGGATCACAGAGCAGTCCCTGTCAAGGAGGCACATTGGGGAATTGGGCTCCTAACCTCTGGGTCTCCAGCTAGATCCCTAACCACTGAGCTACCCAGCAGTTCTAACCTTGCCTCATGGTTACATTTCGAAGATGTATGCTATAGCACCTTAATGATCCCCCACCATACAAAATGGTGGGATTTCTTCCAAAATATACACCTTAGCAATCAACCGTGCAAATTAAGCCTGTATTTACACAGTCACAAAACAAAGCACATTAAAGGCATAAATGCTACAGCAAACAGACATTGTCCACCACTTGAGGTAGCACTGCTTCTAATAACATGCTAAATGCATTGCCTGGTTTCACTGTTGGGATGAAATGTGCACATAACCTCTTCAATGAAAAAAAATCATTTTATTTATATTAACTCCTCCTGCCCAAGTTGTTACACTGCAGCAGCAGTCTCATTAGGCGCCGGATGCACATGACCAGCCACACAACTGGCACCTGTAGCTTCTGCAGTTAGATTTCCATGTGGAGGTATTGAACTGGATGCCAGTCAGTGATAATATCTCTGTAAAACAAGGGGGCTGCAATGTGAGCCCATTATGAATCAACCTAACATCTGAACTGTGTCAGTTGCTTTCTTTGTTGTTTTAAGATCCAGTTCTTCACTCACTAACCTGTAAGAGAGCTTCATTAAATTCAAAAAAGGCTTACGTCTCAGTAGGTATCCTTAGGCTTGCAGTATTAGTGAGCATTTAACTGCACAATTCTATGGTTGTCTACTCAGACATTTGTTGAGTTCCCTGAAAATTTTTCCTAGGTAAGAGTGTATGAGACTGCAGCCTAAGATTTTCTCCTTGATGTGTGTGTGTTTGTGTGCATTGCAGTGCTCTGTGACTTGTGGAGAAGGAATTCAGCAACGGGATGTTTACTGTAGATTAAGAGGCAGTGGTCGAGTTAATGAAGACATGTGTAATCATCTTACCCGACCACCTAGTAAGAGGCTCTGTGAGCTGGTTGCTTGTGAACGGTATCAGTGGTTGACCGATGAGTTGCAAGATGTAAGTATACCCTTGGTTTTGGTTGAGATTATATAAACCAGATGAAAATATGAGTAGGTTCTATTTAAAAGGGTACAAATGTCATTTAAATCATTCCATCCTTACAAGTTAAGCAGTATTGCATTTTGTTTTGCTGGGTTTTCCTTCGTAAACATGAATGTCATGGGGATACCAAATAGAACAGAAAGTGGTTTTGCATCGTATTTTCATATTCCTTTGTATCTTACTTAGCCTTTTGAAAAATAAATGTACTAGCTTTCCTCAGTGAAGAAATGCTCAAACTCCTAATTCAGAAACAATTTGAACAGCTTTCCATAAGGATAGAGATGCAACATAATATCTAGATCATCTCCTTGAAATCCATGGATTATTCTGTGCTTACCCACTAACAGTTTTAATAGATCAAAAAGATACATGCAGGCTGAATCAGAATAAGTGGGTTCAGGATTCCAACTGAATGCTTTGGAGTTTGAAGTGGTCATGTTGTGGCTGACCTTTCTTATAAACATGGCTTCGGAAATGTAACTGTTGCCCCTAATGGAAAAGAACTTGCTTTGTTCTTGTCATCTTCAGTGTTCATCATCTTGTCAAATAAAGGAAGCAAACCGAAAAGTGACATGTGTGGATGGAAGTGGGAACCAAGTGAATGAAAATCTCTGTGATCCTTCCACAAAACCTTCATCCAGCAGAAAATGCAGGATGGCTCCCTGTAAATATATTGTGATTACAGTTGACTCATCACAGGTAGATGTTTCCATTTAAAACCAAGCTTTTTATTTTACTCTTTGAAAGGATGTAAATGCTTGCATGTTTCATTCTTGCAGATGAGTATGAAAAGTTTCAATAGTTTATTTTTCGCTGCTGGGAAAGATTACAAGAGTTTTTGAGGGTTTATGGAAGTCTGGGGGATTCTGAGGTTTTAGCAGAAGTTATTTTTATGCAAAACCTTTTTCCTGTATTTTGTGAAAAATTCTTGTAGTTTTGGGGGGAAACTCTTGTATTTTGTACAGAACAGAAGCGCCCAGTTTGTGCAAACCCACTTGTTTGGTTGCTGTTGAAGATGATGATGAACCACTGCTCATAGGCAGTAGTGAAAATGTTTGACAATTTTTTCAGTAGAATTTCACAGGGTATCAAGATACCCATTTTCATTGGGGATGAGCAAACTAAGGATGAACAAACTTATAAGCATTTGTTATTTATTGGTAGAGCAAATATCTCCACCAGATATGCCAGATAAAATTGTCAGTAAAAACAGTCTTAAATTATTTCAGCCTGAATCAGAGAGCCAGTGTTGGCTTCAGTGTTGGTTTTTTAAACAGTTTCAATGGTCACATGGTCAGCATGACTAGACACGGAACGCTGTTACCTTCCCACCATGGTGGTACCTAATTATCTACTTGCATCTTTGCATGCTTTCAAACTGCTGGGTTGGCAGGAGCTGGGACAAGCGACGGGAGCTCATTCTGCCATGTGGATTCGATCTTACAACTGCTGATCTTCTGATCTTGCAGCACAGAGATTTCTGCGGTTTAACCCGCAGTGCCACCACACCACCACGCTTTGATTAGTTATTCATTAATTCAATGTATTTGCGAAGGCTTTCACAGCCGGGATCTAATGGTTGTTGTGGGTTTTTCGGGCTCTTTGGCCGTGTTCTGAAGGTTGATCTTCCTAACATTTTGCCAGTCTCTGTGGTCGGCATCTTCAGAGGACAGCACTCTGTGCTCTGGTGTAGTTGGCTTGGGAGTGGAGAATTTATGGCTGTGAGATGGGCTTTTGTCTTTTTCTGTGGATGGGTGATTAGTGTGTCTTGTTGTGGGTGTCCTGTTGTGATAAGAAGGAGAGATTATCCGTCACTGTGGTTGATGTATGTCATTAGCTGGTCTTTTGTGTGTAGTGATCCCCGGTCCTTGTGGCTGGGTAGAGTTCATTGACCTTTTGCACACTGTATTTTTGAGAGCTGGGAGCCAAGTTTTGTTGAGTTTCAAACTTTCCTCTTTTTTGTTGAAGTCAACGAACTCTACCCAGCCACAAGGACCAGGTAGGACACAAGGCCAGAGACTGGCAAAACGTTAGAAAGAACAACCTTCAGAACACGGCCAAAGAGCCTGAAAAAACTCACAACAACCATGTTCATTAATTCATTTGTTCCTTGCAGAGTGCAGACTATTGACAGACATTAGTCTTGATCACTTTTGCTTAGTGGCATTTTTCTATTAAAATCTTGATGGATCCCCACAGTACAATAGTCAGAATTTCCCACATGAGAACATATTATTGTGTTACTGTACCTCTACACCTTCGTGCTGTTCTGTGAAAATATTCCCCTGAAGTGTTGGTTTTCACTGGAATCCTGTGCTTGGGATGCTGCACAATGAGAGTAGAACGCACTTCTTATGCATAATGTGCCCAGGACATGACTGGCAGTATCCTAAAGATTCACATTTATGTGTGTTTTGTGACTATCGTTTATCATTTTAGTGTCCAGCTGGTTGTAATCGTGACTATCATTTTAGTGTCCAGCTGGTTGTAATCTGGACTATCAACAGAAGATCACATACTGTGTTGAAGTCCACCACACCTGGAATAGCCATGCCTGTAGCCTTCAACCAGTAATACACCAAGATTGCCCAACAGAACAGTCACAGTTGACTCATAAATGCAACATTAAAGCGTGTTTACATGGTGCTGCTTGGAAAGTGGGACAGTGGAGTAAGGTGAGTGACAGACAAAGTTTATGAAGTGAGTGAGTCTAGAAATGAATCATACCATCATCTGAGATTTGCTTTTATGAACTAGAATTCTGTTTGTCCAGATTTCTTACAAAAACAACCATAGTGTGAAGAGTTTGACTTCTATGGAGCCTTCACAAGGAATATTGGGATTTCCTGGTGCAACAGCAAGGGGCACAATTGAAATAAATCACTATTGAAATAAATCAGGTGATGGATCTGAGTTTTGAATTCAGTTTAAAGTCATGTGCTCATTATGTCGTTTTGGGGTCAGCATGTGCATCCTCTTGGGAAAACATTTAATCCATTTTCTAAATTTATTTTTCCCACCTTACTATTTATATTTTAATGTGAGCTTTCATGGGCAAGTCCACTTCCTCAGACATAATAAGAGAGATTGATTGTTAGCCGCCTAGAGTGGTCCTGACCCGACCAGATAGGC